ATTTTTATATTAAAAGAAGCCACCTGTAAATACTATTTTCTTTTGCAAAAAACAAAAAACAAAAAACCAAAACAAAACAAAAAATAAAACCCAAAAACACAAACAAATTACAGTAAAACATAAAAAAGTTCTCAAGTGGAAAGTTATCATTCCCAATGTTCTTGAGCTGTTCCTTCTTTAATCATTCTCTCACATTCTCCTTCACCAAACTTGGTCCACTTAACAGTAGTATGATTTTTTTTTTTTATGTTTTTTTTAAGACTCATTCAACAGCTTAATTATAGCTAATAAATTCTGAGGTTGATAAAGTTTTTGTACTGTTGCCATTTTGACTAAGGCAGAGGAGATGAAAGTGAGAAAGGTATTCAGTGCAAAGTCAGATTTGTGCCATTACATAAAATGAAGTCCAGTAGGTGTAATATTCACAGATAGCATCGATTTAGCAATCTTTCTCATGGGCTGATTTACCCTCACAGAATAAAAATGGTCTATCATTTAGGATACAGTTCATAACACTACAAAAAATTACTACTGTAACGTAAATGAGACCACAGGCTCCCTGAATTTTTTCAGAATCATGCTAAGTGGGATTGGTTTAAATTAAAATGGCTGTTTCAAAAATAAGCAAAATAAAAATAAATATTTTATGTGGCACAATCTCACCACTTTACAGGTATACTAGAAACACAGACTCTTAAAGCATTTTGATACTGATTACAATTTTGATTAAATGGTATTAAAAATTTATATATAAATTATGTGATGGTTTGGATAAAATATTCAAGAAAATTCTCAGCATTACTATTTCTTGTGGAGTTTATAATCAAAGCAAGCTACCTTTTAAAAATACCAGTACACCTGTGATACATCCTCTGCCAAGTCTCTGGCCTTCTACAGTACACACAGGTTTGTCAACTGTGCAACACCATTTACAGTTTATTACAATTAAATCAGTCAGTCTCTCTGTTATATGCATCAAATTCAATTTTGTATTATTTATAAACTGGGGTTTTATTCTGAGTTAAAATGAGCTATGTTTTTCAACCCTTCACCAATCCTAAATGCTTAGTTGTAAGAGTAAAACATTTACACATTTGGGGATTCTTGCTTTAAATGCAGTGCTTATTGCTAAAAAATAAAAAAAAACTACGCAAAGAATAAAAACCTACTTAAAAAGTGAATGCAGTAGTACTACAAAGTCATCTGAAAGTCAATTTAGAATTTTAAAAAAATCTTTAGACCCAATGAATGTGAATATAGATTTAGTGACATTTAACCATATAAAAAAAAGTTTCCGCATTGAAAAGAAAGCATTTCGGTTTGCTGACATTGTTTTTCATGGCTATAGCTATAGAATTATACTAGTGACAGAACAATCAAATAGGTTATTATTGTAAATACTGATAGTATTTCAATTCTACAATGTAATTTTAACACATTAAAAGAAACTTTTATTGTTGTACAAAGTTCTCTTCAAAACCTTTTGTGAAACCTCTGTGCAGTGATAATCTAGGATTTCAAATTCAAAATACAATAAAGTACAATTGTAAAATTAACTTTGTGTAAGTTCCTTAATACACATTGGGATTATTTAGATAAGACTTTAAAATAATGTTCTCCTGAAATATCAGCATGGTTTTCATGCTAAAAGAGAGAGGTATGCATGACTTATTCCACAGGAGATAAGCTATGTGTATTTATTTATTTACTTAAGACAGTGGGCTTCCGATATGGCTAGATATGAACACCAAATTATCAGAAAATGGCTGTATTTTAAAAGAAGGTGAAATTATACTAATTATTAATTTCAATTACTCATAAGCAACCCAGATGAAACATCTAGGCCCTTCCAAAATATTTAAAATCTATGTTGAGTAAACACTATAATAATGAACTTGAACTACAAATTGGTATTCCCCCCACCCCCCTTGTGCTTTATCAGTGTATTTACTAGTTGTCTCAGGCAAATATCTAATTAAACAAAAAGGTAGTCTCACCTGCCACCTGAAACTATCACTGCAGATCATGAAAGACCATTGGCAAAAATTGATTTTTGCAACATCAGGTCAAACGTTCAAAGATAACCAAATCCTTACCACTCATTATTCTTGACAGAGATAGGTTTTAATCTTTTTTCTATTTCCTTTTTTTCCTTCTCCCCCCCTCCCCTCCTTTTTTTTTCTAAACATGGGCTATGACCTTCTGATTATACCCTGTTGCCCACTGAAGAGTTCTCAAGAAATGAGAACAAGCCAATGGGCTGTAAATAGTGTGCAGTGATATAAAAGAAGAAGCAATCTTCTAGAAAACTTAAGTAGTGTCTTGTTATCAGCCTTACACTTTCTGTAAAGCATAAGATCCCTACATATGAAAGATAAGTGTTACATAAATATAGCAAATATCCAGGAGGGCCCTTTTTACTGTATTGACCGAAATCTGTATTGTTTCTTGTAGTGAATTTATGGGAGGTTGTGAGAAGTGAAGTGTAGTCAATGTTAGGAGATGTCAGATCTGTCACCTGAATTTGACTTTTAAATATTACAATATCATGGAAGCCTGCACAACACTGATTTTGATGAGACCAGAATAATAATACTTGGCACATAATGCTTTGCATCCTCAAAGCCCTGTACAAAACAAGAACCCCCACAACACCCCTGTGAGGTAGGGAAGTATTATTATCCTTATTTTACAGATGGGAAAACATACACAGAGAGATTAAATGACTTGCCGAAACCCACAGTGAGTCAGCAGCAGGGATGGGATAAGAATTCAGCCCACACACTGCTTCCTAGCCAATGTCAATAAACCGAAAATAGCACTTTTCCCAATAAGCTTAAATACTTCATTCAGGGGTCCAAAGGCATTACACTTGAGGAACAGGAGAAAAATGAAGATTTACTTTCCATTCAAGGGTTAAAGAGAGATGCCCAAATATTGGATGTCATCTCACCAACAGGACTTCAGAAGTTGCTTCTCCTTCAGGTTACACATTTTAGCAGCAAAAGGCAAATACCAAGAAACAGATTTTGGCAAAAAACCAAAACACCCTCCCTTCCCCCAGCCTCAGTAATTCAAACTCAAACAACTTTTGAAGTATTATCTTCACAGCCCTTACCTTTCTGAATTCAGTCAGGTATCTGAGAACATGCATCCTCCTCATAATATACAGTACAGTGGCTCAAAAGTTTATTGGAAAAAAAGGAATCTAAATCTTCAGATTTCTCCAGACACAGACAGGAGGCATTTATTCCTTTACTTCTTTCTCATTAAGCAACCATCCATTCATTTTATTTTGCAACACCAATCTGATATTTCCACACCAATTAAAAGAACAAACTGGGGGGAGAGGGGAGGGAAACACGACCAAATTTATTATTGCAGCACTGAATTCATAGTGTTTCTTGATGCAGATGGAGCTTTAAATAGTTTTTAAAAGGGAATCGTAGCGTTTATATTAAATAGATCACAAAGTTTATACATTTAATTGAGCTGGGAAAGCCAAGTTTATGAAATATTTTTAAAAATGCAAGCATTCCCAAAGCTCTAAAATATTAACTATTCAGATTTTTGAGAAAAATAATGAATGGGTCAAAATATGGTATTTGGTTAACCAGCTGTGGTGTTGCAAATCTCATGTACACTCAAAGCACTTCTTACAAACAAGAACTGCAGAACTAAACTAACCTCGGTCTGCGGTCACAATCCTTTGGTAAGGATGGACACGCATATCGTGCCTTCGAACTTTAGTAGCCACCGCACCTAGTTAAATTGCAATTACCAAGACAAAGTTAGAAAACATTCAAAGAAAACATTAACAGCAGGTTTATCAAAATGGATTTAAATGATCATTAACTACAAAAGTTCATTTTAAGAAAAGCAACAAGTTAAGGCACAGTAGTTTCAAATCTTAAATCTTAAAAAGAAGTTTATCTGTGCAGATTAATATTGCATTTATTTTAAACATCCTGGCCTTAACCTGTTTAATCCATTCATTTACAATCCCAAAATTACAGTATTTCATGAAATCTATTAGACCCAAGCACATTTAAGCTTTACTAGTCACATATTCACTGAAGTGCCTTTCTTGCAGCAGGACTATTTTAAATAATGCCATCTTTTAATACTGACAATTATTTGCTAACCTTAAGATCACTTCCAGTTCTATCACAAAAAAAAAAAAAAAGTTTTAAAGCAATTCTTCAAGCCTACAGATTGTGATTTTAAACTTTAAGTCAATAAGTATGAACTGCAATGAATTAGGTGATTAGTAAAGCAAACACTATATAGAACACTTAGCAGTCAGTATACTACTATACACTCATAAATTACAGCTACTCTGTAATAATAGGAGCTAATCCAAATTAATAGCACTATTTTATTTTAAATCTATGTGCAAAAAAGTGCAAGTAAGTCACTGACTGCTAGGCCAAGCTTTTTTCAAGGCTGCTGAAACTAAGCATTTGTTAAAATTCAGATCTGATGAAGGATCAGTTAAGACCGTTCTTGAATTCTTAGCCTTTCGTTGGGAAAGCCATACCTGAAGATAAAAGGAAGGGAATTAAAAGTTAGTCACCAACTAAAATTTGATCCCAACACCAATATCCCCCAAAATACTAATAGGGATGCATTTCTCTGCCATTTTTAACAGAATTACTTTAAGACATCTTAAAGGTCCACCACAAAAATGGGCAGAATATAGCATACTATTAATGAGAATGAGTGTATTATGAAATAAAACTCAATGAAAAACTAGTTTAATTCAATTAACTCTATATAATTGCTCAGATAATAGAGCAGATGTATTAAGAGTTATTGACTCTATGCTACCTAAGTGGGGGTGTGGTCCCCTTCCCTTCCCCCCCCCCTTCCTTTTTAAAATAAGATTATTTGGTGAGATCTTTTTTGGGCAATACACCTGTGCCCTCACAGCTAACCCCAAAACTATGCCATGGTTTCAGATGCCATTTTAGGAGTAATTTTCTCCTTCTCTCTCTTTATAGAAAATCCTGTGAGAAATCAAAGTTTCCTGCATAGTATTAAATTATGACTATGGAATGATGTATTTCTTTACTTTGCTATTAACTGGATTCAGGAGAGGGGTTTGCCACTAACCAGCAACTGATAGCTACTGTGACGATGCACGTAACTGTGACTTTACCCCAGGACGTATCACAAGTGGACCCACAGATTGGGGGTGGAGGAGCTGGGGAGTTTGTGGAAAATTAATAAATGATGACATTATCATACACTCACTGAGTTTTGGCTATACAGTAACAGACAACAACCGTAAGTTGCTCAAAGACAGACCCTACTGCATACTTTTGTCCTACAAACATTTTTATTATTGATTCACTAATCCTGAAAGGCAGAAGTCTGAAAAACATTTTCTTTTTTACTGTATAAAATATAACGTGGGAACAGGCACACATACAGATAACTCAACAAGTATTTGTCACGTAAGTGAAACACTGATTTTTTTGCAATGCTTTCAACAAAATATTGACTTTGAACCTTATTGTCCAGTGTTCATTAGAGATGCTTAGAATTTGTGTAAATCAATAACTGCCACTGAACAAACTAAGATCAAAGTCCTATAAAATCAACATTATACAGCCCCAAGGTCATATGCAATTCACAACAAGCTAAAGAGAAAAGAGTGTTTAGATTCTGTAGAGGGCAGGGAAGGAAGAAACTATTGCAACTGCTTGTTTCATATTGACCAGTTAACTGAATTGTCATGGTTGCTTTATCATTCTTGCCTTCACAGAGAAAGGCAACGGTCTGAAATACTACGAATGATGGACATTTCAATCCAATGTATATAAAAGAAGCCATGAGTAAAGTTGCTAATTGTATCATCCTTTGGGCAGAACTTAGTTTGCTTTATATTCGTTCACTGAAATTATTTTCTGCTTACAACATGATTTACAGCTTTCTGACACTGAGGAGAGATTTATCAGTTGTGTACTAAATAAAGAAGCAAAAACCCCAACAAACTGAAAAAAGACCTTTCCATTCTCTCCAGTTTTGCTACTAAAAAGGTACAGTAAAATAGGAAGTTCTCTCTTCCAAAGGTTACTGGAAATTAATTTATGTTGAAGAGAGCACAAAGAGATCTGGTATTTATGGGAGCCCAAATGACACATAATAGATGTCAACTTCTCTTTGTTTTTTTTTTTTTTCCTTGCCTATGTACTCACCATCTAGAGTCATACAAACATTTCTATTTTGAGTAATCTTATTAATATACTAAACACACATATTTAATAACACAAAACATGTTAAAATCCTTAAGAGTTACACCGTTTTCCTAGGCAGCTTTGATATACCTGAGATAAGGTGGTTGCTTCAAATTTTTTTCTTTGAGCCCCATGACCTCTACCATGCAGATATCACAAGAGCATAAGCAATATATTCTCCAGTCATCCGTGTACAAAGATCTTACCTAATACGCCACTAGGTTCAATAGGATACTCAAGGATTGATGTAGCTGGTGCCAGCGTGTAGGGGTATTCATATGGTGTGTAAATTAAACCAGCTTCGGGTCCAGGTGGAACTATTGCAGCGGTGGGATGAGGAGTTCCATTTGGCATGACAGCGGTTTGTATTTGTCTGATCAAAGGCATTATGGTAGGGCCAGCTGGCGTAGGAGTACGCAGGGCAGCTGGTGGGAGAACAGGCGCAGGCCCAGTAATAATCCTTGGAGCCTGGGCTGTTGCTGCAAGAGAAAAGGCAAGGGCTGCTACAGTAAGCAAAGAAATTCAGAGGAAAGTATGGAGATAGCAGTACAAAACGTGGAAAGAATGGGAAAAAAGGGGAAAAGTAGGAAAGAAGAAAAATAAAAGGAAATCATTAGTACATGCGCTGATCACACAGTGCCAAAGCACACCATTCAAATGCAAACAGCTTTCCATTTTCCAGTGTGATTAAGTATGAACATGCAAAATAAAAAAGCCATTGTAAAACAGTGGGGTAGATTTCTCAAACAGGTTACACAGCACAAAAGCTCCATTTAGACCACATTTCTTCATTTATGCTATCAAGACTGCATGAGACTGAGATGCATGCAGGAGATACAAGGAAAATACTGTCATAATCAAATACAGAGTACAAAATTTAGTGCAACTATAGAGTCCACAGATACTCAGTTATGCAGAGCTGCTGTATGAGTATACAGTTTTTACACATCTTAAAATTGTATCTAAACAATTCCAGTTTCCAGGATCAATGAAGTTAAAGATGACCTAGAAACACAATGCATCTCCTCTCCTACTCTAACATGAATAAAAGACTCAAAAGTGATTTCCATATCATATTCACCAAAATAAAATACTTTCTTTGTATTAGAAGTTCACTATGGCCTTGCTTAAGTTAAAGAAAATAGGTGTTTGTTTTTTTTTTTTTAAACAGTGCTAGCACATTTCATTAAGTGTTATTTGAAGCCTGTTGGCACACAAGATGAACAACTTCTTAAACACTAACACATCAGCTGGTAACAGTCAATCTTAAAGGGTTGTAATTTATACATTTCTATACACAATTGTTGATCTACATTGATTAACTTAAAGGTGGTCTGAAAAGAGAAATGTGGGTGAAGTTCTTCAGATTTGAGACTGTTGTGGTTTTTAAGTTATTTTTATTTTTTAAAAAAGTGCTCAGACTTAATGTATAATTTAAAAACCCTCAAACATTTTCATTTCCTTTCTTAAATGGAAATAAACCAGTATGGCTTCAAAGTTTTCAGTAAAAATCAAAATATAAACAGTGAAATTGTCTTATTAAGAAAAAGTGAATATTAGTGTGGAAATCTCTAGTCAAAAAATGACTTCCCACTTAACACTGATACAAGAGACGAATGGGAATAGATCAGACGAAGAAATTGCTCAAATTAATATAAAGGTTTCTATGCAACAGTTTGCATCAATTTAAGCTAATCTGAAAGCCATTTTACTCATAGATTTGCAATAATTTAGAGACTAAAATATATTTAAAACTGATCTAGCTTTAAATATTACAGTGTTCATTAGGGCTGAAAGATTTACCACCACCATTGTAGTGATAAAAGCCCTCGCTTATGTCTCTTTTCAAATCAGAATAATTACACTGGTGTAAGCACTCTCAAATTGACCTAACTGCATTCCAACCTTTAAACATATTCAACATTGAAATGGTAACTGTGCGGAGAAACAAATTTGCAAATACCTGTAGGCCCTTATTGAAAAGACTGATTTAACTGTGCTTACATTTGACATCTCTATCACAGCTACAGCAAAGATCTACTTTGGAACAGTATTAGCAACTACATTTTCAGGAGGAGAAACTAGCTTTTCAACTAGAGAAAATAATCTGTATCACATATAATAGGAATATACTCTCATTAGTAGGTGTACGTAATTAATTTTCAAGTGTAAACCTGTGCATACATGCATTTGCAAAAGCATTCTCACACAAATGTAATGGACAAAATCATAAAAATGGCTCATTACATCACTGATCCCTGTGAACTCAGCTGTGAAATCAGTTGATGAATTGTTGGAAAAACATAACATTGGGGGGGACACATGCAAGCAAGATGAAAGGAAGGAATATAATATAGAAAAATGTATTCACAGTATCCTGAACATCTGTAACATTTTCAAATTAAATCTCTAAAAATAAAATTGAAAAGGAGTCCATTGTCCTTCATAGGTATTAAGGAAAAAATGATTGTAAAATAGAAAAATATGGCTTAAGGGTTGAATTTTTTTAAACTATATATTTGTAAATATTTCAACCCAGACATACTGTTTAAAAAAGGGGGGGGGGAACCGAAACAAAAAACCCCCCAAAACTGACATAACTTATCTCCAGAAGATCTTTTGCAATGGCTACCTACTGTTCTGTTGGCTTTTTACCGCCTTCCATTCTCCAACACAGTTGCTACTGTACATTTGCCAAAAGGTAGCTTTAGGAATCAAAACCTGCAAACATTACTACGGCATTGACCCTCCAGCTTATAACACGCTTACGTGATTTGATGTTGGCATCTCTGTAGGTGCCATTCAGAATTGCAAGCTCCATCAGCTGCATCTTTTTAAGGCTGTCTTCTCCTTCTGCCTGTGTGTGAAAAGATGGCAAGAAAGTCAGGCTTATTAATTCATTAGTGCACAAGATCTACGGGACCTAGAATAAAATTCCTTCAAGTTTTAACCAAGCAAAATACCTGCTTACCATTAGTCATAAACACAGTAAGCTTTGTCAACTTTTCCTTAAAATTAAGTGCAAGTTGCCTGTTGTCTTATCGTTAAGTGGTGTTGATAAATATCTTAAAAGTTTTGAAAAGGGTCATACCATAAATTATAAAAATAGGGTTAAGTGTAAGATGTGTTTGATAGCAATTGTTTAAAGAAATTTTTTTCTCAAGTTTTAGCAAACGTTTTCACGTACTCCTAAAGGGATCTTTTAAAAAATTGTATTATTGGGCTAGAGGAAGAAAAGGCACCACAAATTTTAAGTAACTTCAATTTATTGTAACTTATTCCACTGTAGTTGATACTGACTACTTTGGGGGGGGGGGGGGTGTGCGGAAACAGAGTGGAGGACAGACCAAAAATAAACAACAAACTTTGAGCAGCTTTCCAAACAGGACATCAACAACTGCTGTAAGGCAGAATTCATAATACTGGCACATGTAGATGTATTCTGATTAGGATATAACTACAATTTACACAGTATACATTATTCTTGGTTTTGCTTCAATATAAATTATTTCCCTGAAGTTATCTACTCCATTGCTATCCTGCAGCTTGCATAAATATTACCCAGTATTCAGTAAAAAAGCTCACTTTTTTAGTTACTAACAAAAATATTTCTAATTAGTACAATTCTAGCTTTAAGACCAGACATTTTCTGATCCGTCTTTCCAGAAATACTACCATTTGTTTAGTCTACATCCTATCAACTGGAAAACAAGATTATGATACAGGAAACCCAAGAGAGATGGTCAGTGTCTACTTCAATGTTAAGTTATCACCTTACTTCTTGTATTGAATGCCACTGCTGAAATTCTCAGTCAGATGGAAAAGAGGGCAGCTGCATGTCAGCTGCATTGCATTCTTCCCTTGATAAACAGGATTTCTTATATTTTTAACTATCTTGTCTATTCACACAGTGTTTTCCAGATATCTGGAACAGCATTTTCCAACTTAATGGAACCTGGATAACAACATACTGTGCCATCCACTCTGAAAATCTTAAAGTCTGATTTCAGAGAGTTAGTTGGTCACCTATCTTAAACTACAACTCTTAGAGATGGTTTGAACTAGGACTTCCAAGAGCATAAGTGATTACAAAAAAACAGAATTAAAAGCCACAAAGAATAGCAATCACCACCAATAACCAAAAAACCCCTATTAAATATTAAACCCCTATTAATAACCCCATTACAGCACTGCACCAGTGAAACATCATCTCAAACTAGCTAAGAGTTAATAGGATTATCTACACATAGCATTCCAAACATATAGGAAAATATTTTTTCAGGCTAGTTTGCAGCAAAATGTTATTATACATACTTTACTCCCAAACTACGGAGAAGTAATTTACTAAATTCTAAGACAAAAAAAGGTTTAAAATTCTATCTAAGCAAATATAGTACTTAGTGTGAGGTATGCTCAAGGACCACCACACCTTGCAATGGAAACTTTAACATCTGATTTTTATCAACAACTTAAAATCAACATGGCAAGATGGGTCAACACTAAATTACTTTCAGATGTCAGAAAGGAAAGTCCTAACTGTAATACTGAGGACTTGCATAAACACAAAGATTACACACAGAAACGATTTATGTTGTTGTTAAACATTGAGAATATACTGAAAGTCAGACATTTTCTTTATATATTAAATGCTGTGTGACAGACCAAGCTAACACTAATACTGAAAAAGTAAATACATATTCAATTACCATTTTAACTACAAATTAATTGTACCGTTAAGTACTGTACTATCCAGAAACCTCAGGCGCCATAGTCATTAAAATGAGACTCTCTGGAATACAAAATGTACTGATTATAGCATGCTTAATATGACATACTCAGAATAGACTTACCAATTACATGCAAAAGATATTCCCCCCCCCCCAACTATTATTCCATTGCATCTTTGTTGGTAAATTACCTAGACAATCATGATGCAATAAAACCAAATCCAAATCTATCTGCCTATCCAGAGCTCACAAATTCTTGTCATTCTGGATATACCTTAACTAATTTATTTTAGCAATAAAGATTTTTAACACATTGATTCCTCTTTTCCCCCTCCCTCTGTAATGGTTATACTTTGTTATTGGCTTTTTGCTTGGGTTCTTTTATTTATTTATTTATTTAATTGAAAGTGTGTAATGAAAATACCTCCTCGCAATGTCAGCTGCATCTCCCATATAGTTCCATTAATGTTACTAAAATTGCTCGCTTCCTCCAAATAAGAGTTCAGGTGATTGATCTGACACCATTAATGAGTCTCGGTAAATGCTGAATCTTACATTCTACTTGCTAGGATAATTTTAGTAACTCTAATCCCAGATTTTGCACCACAGTGAATATTTCCCAAATGTAACTATTTATAGGATAATAATTTTAAGACAGAAAACATTTTTTTCCCTTCTGACATCCCCAAAACAAGGAGTTATAGCAACTTAAAAACAATAAAAGATAGACAACATAATCATTCTTACTTTTATCTTTAACATTTTCCTATAGGTCACTATGATTCCTATGAGAAAAGATGTTGCAATTATCTAGGTTTTACAAAGTATATTTACAAAAATAATAATGGGACTTCAGCATACAAAGCAGACCAAGTCCTTAACTTTTATTTTTGAGATTTACTTCTCTGCAGTACTGCTCAGCAGTTGACAAACTTTTGTTCTTTTAAACAGACTCCAAAACATAGTTTAAATCTTTTCCTGAAAGACTATATCAGTGATAATTCACAGATGTGGACTTGCATTACTTGACATTAACAGTGTCTTTCAACTTCTGGTGTTTTGTTTTTCAAAGCATTTATTAGATAAAGGGAAAAAAAAAAAACAACCCAAACAAACAAACAAAAAACCCCCACTTTAAAAACCTCTTTAATGCCGACCACAAGGGCATCATTCTGACTGCTCCCAGAAGATGGCACTGTTTGTTATACAATACTATCTCCTCAAGTCATGGGTGCTTAGCACTATTTGCACCACCCTACTAGTGCTGCTCAAAATCCTGCTACTCCCTCACACCCTAAACTTGCAACACTCGCCTGCCACCTCTCTTCAAGGCATCAGTCACAGAAGTGGTCAGGACCCTTTCAGATATGCTGTCGCGTCCTTCATTCTCTGGTATCAAGCTCTCTGCTTGAACATCATTCACCAATAGCCAAACCCTCAAATTTCCAAGAGCTGGGACAGAGCAATTGGCGCATCTTTTTGCCTCCCCTATCCTCTCTCTTCCTTGCTGACAGATGATCAAATGAGGCACACCGATGCAATCTATCTTAGCTTCAGGCATTTCTGCAGGCACTCTCTGTTAAAGCAAAGAGAGGTTGCATCAGGGATACAAAGGCAATCTCTAAAGGGACAGTACATTACCTGTACAATAGCTACAACAAAGCTCAGTCATTTGTACCAAGAGGAAGCTACTTTGAGCAAACATCAATAAGGTCACTCAAAGCCAGATTTGCATTACTAAGTTGAAGCTCAAGTGATTGACTCAAACCTCTCATCTTAAGCCTCCAGTGATTTCCTTGTATTTCTCATGTACAATATAACATGCAGATTAAGAAAAAACCTTAAATGGTATTTTGAAACATAATTCTTTAAATGTAAGCACTTGCAACTGCTCACTGAATACAAATACGGAAGAGATGCAAGCAGTAAATCCTAACAAAGCCAACTGTGCACAGACAACAGCAGCTACCATTATTTGAACACATGGCCAGATCTCCTCGCAGCAGCTCAGCTCTACTTGGGCTACCAATAAAAAAACCTGAAGGAGACCAAATACCAGTGACCACTACCATTTATGTAACTTGTTTTCTAATCTTTATCAGGGTAGGATTAATAGTCACAAGGCTCAAAACACTAGTAACAACTAGAAGTGCCACCTACATGAAGTGTCTGGGGAAACACTTCCCAAAATAAAACAATTTCAAATGAAATACACAACACTGACCATACTGATGCCCAATTAAAACCACAATTCTGTCTCTAACATTGGGCAATACTGTCTGTTTCAAAAAAAAAAAAAAAAAAAAAAGAGGAATGCAGTTATGTAATAAACTGCTATTAGTAAGAGCTTGTTTCATGTCATGAAATAGAGAGCTCAGATAAAGCACTCCATTTAATTTTTTTAATGACTTCTTTTCATTATCAATGTCTAAGCTATACTTCAACCTCAGATACCCCAAGATCCTCAGAGAATTCTTTTGTTTAACTAAATGCTTCTGAAATTATTATTAGGCACTTAAATGCCTTAGATTCTCAATCGCACACAATGTGCCCTTAAGCGTATCACACAGTTTAGCTTCTTATTTATACACAAAACATACACACGCCAGATAGATAAGATAGGGTATCAAGGTGGAAGACAGACAGGCATACAGACTCCAAACAGAAGTGCATTCACTGTGCTATGTCAATGAAGACTTCAGAAGATGACAACAGTCTTCAGAGGTGACAGGTAGACTGTTAGATTCTGTGTACAGTCAACTCTGAGAACCCTATAATAAATTACAGTAGAGAAAGAAAGAAAGATACTATCTTAAAAGAAAAGAAGGATCGAGTAGCAACATTTACTACAGAGCATGCAGTGGAGTCAGTCAGTACCCACACTGCCCTGCCATACTGCTGCCCGACCCACATGAAGGTGACTGCAGCTGAGTTAATTCACAAGCCAAACAATCCACTCACTTGCATGACAGCAGGGATGCCTTATCCTGACAGAGCTCCTTGAGCCTCACAGTCTTACTCGGCTAAGTCTCAGAACGTACTCTGATTATCATTACCACCAATGCTGGCAGGGAAGGCTTTCAGCATTTCTGTACAAACATATATACTTTCCCCGTATAATGCTCATTTT